CACATGTGGTTACGAGAACGGATTATCTAGGCAGAGTGGCATTACCGACAAAGACAAGGGAGACTGGAATGGCCATTTCTGACTTATTAGCCATTGTCAGCCAGCCATATCCAACCCCGAAGTGTGGAACACCTGAGGCTCGAACTCGCGACCTGTTAGTTAGAAGTCCACGCCTCTACCCACTGGGCCACGAGGCCAGTGCCATTCTGCTTATATCATGCGCCGCTGTGCGGCTGCTGGTTGGGCTCGAGAGAGAGCCCATAAGGCACAACGGAACGAGTGAGTTCCGTAAGAACGATCAGTGAGCGTCTCCTACCAACGAATTGTTTGCCCATCTTCAGTCAGTATGATTCAGTCTGGAACAGGGGGACTTTGCGCCCCGTAAAGTTGTGTGCAGTATAGGGGGACATATAAGGGGTATCTCTTACACATTGCAGGTTTCAGACTTGAAGTGTGTCCTGAGCCAGAACTCCGGGATAGGAGAAATTCCGACTCGGCTGAAACTGTTCCCTGTTCTATAGTGTTTGTTTTCCACCTGTTCGGTGGTCTTGAGTGGCAGGTCCGGGGGGGTCAGAATGGTGATGTGACTTTAAAAAGACGGCATGGTACTTTTGGTAGCCAAGTCTGACCGACCAGCTACGGCATCTGAATCAGCAGTCAGAAATCCGGGATGTCGAAAGTGAAGAATGAAATGTAAACGCACGGCTGCAATAACGACCACTCAGCTCCAAGATCAGCTACGGCACGTAAAGGCGCCTGAGAAGCCGTCAGCCGCCCTCCTCTGCCACTGGGGTTTGAAATTTCTCGCGCGTCGGAAGAAACCACCAGACGCCAAACAACGAAGAATGCCTGGGTTCATTTATCCGACCCGATTTCAGGCAGGGCAGCTGTACAGGGGAAACCTGAAGATTTCCCGGACGTAGACGGTCGAACACGTATCAACGGTAAAGAGGAAAGAGGCTAACTCTCAATTTTGTTGTCCACTCCAGAGGACTCGGCCACACCCTCACAATCGATGAGGCTGGAACTGACGCTGAACCAGTGATTACTAATTAATCTGATGATGACGATAAAACAATTAACGCACCAAATACAAACATTGACGCGAATGATCCCCAAACTACATTAGCCGTGCGCTTGCTGGCAATCACACTCCATTATCCTCTCCAGTTTCTGCATCTGATGATGGGATGGGTGTGAATTCGCAACGTCAGACAGGTAAAGCATGCACAAGTTTCATGATACACCATACTTGACAGAACACGTGCTAGCTAAAAGCCCAGACACGTGTTTCGCCGATATTCCGCGCTGTATGACGCTGTTGCAAGGGGCTGGACACATCAGTGTGCCACCCAGTGTTCTCCCTCACGGCTGTGACATGCAACGACAGAATATCGGCGAAACACGGGTCCGCGCTTTTAGCCAGTAACTGCGCTGTCGAGTATGGTGTGTCATGTAACCTATGTACATACTTGGCCCCCAAAACGGGCTACGTGGACCAACGAGGGAGGGGGGCTAGATCGCATTCCGGCAGGCGTTATCGGAATGCGCGCCAGAACAAATGCCAAGACTCAGGGCGTGGTTGCAGGATCAGTTGTCAGCTCACGTCACGCACATTGAGTTCGAGTCCCAGGTGTTCCACACTTCGGGGTTAAGTATGACTGGCTGGCGACGGCTAATAAGCCAGAAATGGACATTCCACTCTCCCTTCTCTTTGTCGGCACTAACATCCTACCTATATCATGAGGCGCTGCGCGGCTGCTGGTTGGGCTCGAGAGAGTCCGTAAGGCGCGACGGGTCGAGTGAGTTCCGTAAGAACGATCGATGAGCGCCCTCTACAATTGAGATGTCTGTCGCATCCCTCCGTTGTTGCTGATGGTTAAGATCCAGATCAAGCGTTTGTTATGGGCAAGGGGGCGTGGTAGTACGCCTAGGTGCGGATCCGACCGCGCCAGCCAACTGTGCCCTCTCCCACCTCCGGTCCCTTGACTATGTCTTGACACCGGACCCAGGCGGGGCGAGGGGAAATTGCGGTAAGTTCTGTGCAAGTCTACAATCACTATAAACTAATTCACGCACAAGTCACCCTCTCCTTCACCATTCTGTGGAGCACACGGTGGACATCGTCGGCAACGACGGTTGAACCGTCGGCTGTCTACTGACTGTCTGTGAATATTACGCGGCTTTCCCGCCGTGGCTGGTGAGTTTTGGTCCAGATATTCATAGCAGCCCTTGGTCTGAGCCCAGGAAGTGTAATTCCAAACGATTTATTCCAAGTTAGCGATTAATTCTTGAGGAAATTAAAATGTCTCAAACATGCTCACTCCGGCGATCACATTCCCTCCTGAACTGCTTGTAACGCAGAAAATGTTCCTGGTAGGTTCTTTTACTGGGGGTACCACCAACAACAGCGGGCGAATCGTGTCCTGTGCGCATAAAGTCATCTGGACGCAAGGCGGACCGTCAGGAATTGCGCGATTAGTGACCTTGACGGGTCTTCGCCTCGCAGGCCTCATGTACGTGATCAGACTTGCTGCTATGAGCAGCACGCGTGTTTTGCCAAAACAAATCCCCCCCCCCGCTCTGTCCGGTTTCAATGAATTCGAAATAGGGCAGAGCGATACTGTGTCGAGTGTCCGTCTACAATATCCTTTAGCCTACCAACCACTCTCAAAATGGTAGACACTGTGGAGAACGTGTTAGGGAGCCATTGCACCCTGATCCTTGACCTAAAGCAGCACCGAAGTAATTACCCGTTAAAAGCCTCCAAAGGTACAACTTGGGGGGGACTACCTCAGAATCGACCGCACCTTCACTAAGTTCTTTGCCAGTGGCTACTCGGCTGACAGGAGCTGAGATTGACCACTTCAACCGACGTGGTGTAGGAACTCAACAGACGCGCGCCACCCACATGGCGGTTAGCCAATCTTGTGCTTGAAAAATCAGTCCGTTGTGTGCGCACATGAATGAACTGGGGGTCCTAAAGTGAATGAATGCGTATGAGCAGTGTGGACGGGCAAGGATGACGTAATGGGCCTCTAGATTCCGCTGGTGCCTAAGCAGGCTCATGTGCGACAGAAGTGTGCAGCCCGTGTGGGCTGATCTGGACGGTTGCTGCACGCATGGAGATTGTTCAGTTATGTTGACGTTGTTCATATTGCGGCGCGTAAAGGGACCTGACTATAGCGAATCATGACCAAAATTCTCTGCCGCCGTGAGAGCAGATGAGGGTTTCTGGCCGCAGTCGTGATGGAATTGAGCCGTTTGTGAGTACACTGCGACGAGCGCGATAGTGTCCAATCAGGCCGACTCGCACCTTAAGCATGCCTTAGTAATAATAATCGGTCGTTGGTCTGCGGCATCGGAAACCTGCCTACCTACCGCAGAACTCCGGCCTTCTGTATTCGACTGGCCCCAGGGGCTGATGCTTCCTTTTCTTACTGCAGACCGCCATGACCGACAATCGCGGAAGTAGGTCTCGCCAGACTCGTATCCAGCCAAGGTCTTCTGTCTCACATTGCGTGCCGACAAACATAGTGACGTCACAACACGGCCGTCCTAGCCAATTGCGCGTCCATGTCGGAGGAGTCAACCACGACCGTCAACTCCAGGGTCCTGGTGCTAGCGAGGCCGTCATGCCTTTCAGAGACGGTCACTCCTCTTGCCTGCTTCTGACAGGTTGTTCGAGTCTCCGTGAAGCGCAGGGGGGGGGGGGTTGTCAGATACATCCTCAGGTTGGCATTCCATGCTGAAGAATCCGTCGCATGCTGATACGGTTGTGCCTGTGGAATCGACGACTATCGACCCGATTTACTTTTCATCGACAGACGGGACGCTGAAACAGACAAAACCACGACTTACATCCAAAAAACTTCAGTCTCCATTATCATCCCAAAAACAGCGACTGTAGTAGTTGCGTCGTTCCCACTGACCAGCAGTACAACGTGAGGGCGTAGCGGGCAGCCATCATGGTCGGTCTGACGTCACTGTTCAAGACCCCGCTGCCTCAAGATCATCCACCCGTTTGCAGTGAGCCGTTCCAGACGAGCTGACCTGCAGTGACACGACCGACAGCTCGGGCATACCTGCGTCTGCGGCAACTTGAACGCACCTCCCCTGAAACCGCAACCTAGGCCACTGGGACACCACCCCTAGGCAAATGCATCACACAATGACTGGATAACACTTGAGCTTGGCCCACGAGCCTACAGAAGCGGCTGCCACCACTATCTCAGGGACTCTCAGGCATGACTGGATGCAGTCAACACCAGCCCTGGCTTCGTCAGTGGCCACTGCCACCTGAGAGGACAACTCCGGGTTCTGTGCACAATAAACCCCTCATTCTGGTGCCTTCCGTCTTCTCCCCAACACTAGGATTTGACCTGGTGGTTGTAGCGCTCAGAGCACTTACTCTGCGGCAACTGCTTAGTCGCTACAAGGGCAATAAGGACCTAGACGACCAGTACGGATAGACTGGTCGCCCTACCCTACAGTGCGTGCTCTCCGCCTCTAAGGAGACCACTCTGCTTTAGCTTAAACGATTGAATGGAAGTCGAGAAGGGCTTTCTATCGAACTGCCCGAGCCTGATTCGCCTACGTTCTGCAGTTGGCGGTGCAGAGGAGGGAAGAACCGTAAGTGGATAACTACATTCTATCTGATCTGTTAAAGTCTATATTCGAGGTCCAGACACAACCCAGAGGTTGGGCAGGGCAAACTGGTCTTAGAAGTCGGCGTGCTGCTATAAACCAAAGAGCACCTTCATGGTGCATTAAGGCACACCTCTTGCAGCATTATGGAAGGTCGACACATTCCCCACAAGAGCAGAGTAAGCTCACAGGGTATACACAAGTAAATTTAACGGGATGTGCAATCAAATACATATGGGATAAAAACAAACACCAAGCTATTAGATAGCGAATGGTCTGACAACAAGAACTGGGAGTTGGAACAAAAACTGTACAAAGTCAGCCGTGGGTAAGAGGTGAGGGAGGGCAGGCTACTAGACGTACTGCATGTGGTTGGGGTGCATGTACAGGAAGGAGTGCAGATCTCCCAGGGTATTCAATCCGCACATTGCGTGCTGTATCTTGACCTCCAGAATGTTCTCAAAGGTCCTGTAAGGGTGCAAGAAAGGGAGCAGGGTAGAAGAGGCACAGCACCAAAATGTCATAATCACAATCCCGACAAGGCGTGGACTCCAGACACGTGTGGAAAACGCTATCCAGAGCGATTCATCCTCCGGAATACTAGAGCTTGCCACAAAGCCTGACGGTGCAACTGCAGAGAAGAAATACTTATTTCCAAGACTGCCCTTTCTAGGAGACGCAGCAAGCGGATTAATGAGTCGACGTCTTGGGACAGCTCTCGCGAGTGCCTTTCCCGCGGCGAACTTGCGCGTATTCTTCGCAAACTTCCGCCAACTACGGTTGAGGAGCAAAGACTGGCTGCCGTTACAGGCCACATCCATGTGTATTTATTCATTCACTTGCTCCTGTGGAGCGGGATATATTGGTCGTACGAGGCGTCTGGAAAAGAGAATACGCGAACAAATGCCTGCCTGGCTGAGGTTGAGGTGAAAATCGATCAATTTCGAGTTCAATCCTCGCACATCTAATCGAAAAGAGTCACCAAGCCGACGCTAAAGAAGCCTTTAAAGTTATCTACCGGGTACCGGCACACTACTCTAAAGGCCTGCGCAAACGGGTGCTAGCCACAGCCGAAGCAGTGGCCACTGGACTAGCGAACCCAGCACTCTGTTGTCAGAAGACGCTGACACAAGCAGTTTGTCTGCTCTGACCGACTCCAGGCGGTGATCGCACGCCGTCCCGACGCCCTGAGAGCAGTCACACGCACTCACAGCGCTTACAATCTAACCGGAACCCCTCTCCTCCCCCCTCCCACCCCAACTCTACCGTCCTTAACACGCTGGCTCCGTCATGCGGGCGGCGTGGGAACATGGAGTCCGATGAATTCGGCCCCTGAGACGCATTTATACCATGTCTGCAATTAGAATGATCGCTACCCATGTAAATGTATCGGCCTGATGATGAGTTATCGAAAACATATGTTCGCCAACTGACTCTTCAATCGTAATATGGGAATTTTCGCAGAACTGAGAACGCTAATTATCTAGTGTAAACTTCGACAAAATAGCGGGACCGCCGGTGGGGCCGCACCGAAAAAACCGGGCGCTGTAAAAGACGCTATGCAGAGCTGTTTTTCCGCCCAATGATCACGTAACCCCTGTCAGCTGAAGTTGTCAACCACTCTGACTTAGTTTAAGGCTCAGTGTTGGGAGATGCACATGGCTCGCGTAGATAGTGGCTACAACTTATGAAAACTATGGCAGGCCATCTGGGCTTGGACAGCAGCTGTTGACAATAACTGGTGGAAGACGGGTGAGAGAGCGGTAAGGAAAACAGCGTTTAGATGGGAAGTTTTGGGGTTAGTGCCGAAGCTCATCGAACATTGACTGACAAAAGTAAATGTGCAGATAAGCAGGGTGAGGTTCAAAAGCTGATATCCGTAGAAGACGACGTCATAGTAACTATTGTCAGTAGTATGTCCTATTTTTGCGCCGAGAACTTCATCAGTCGTCCAAATCAATCCAACGCTAACGGAAGTTGTGAGTCAAATAGGACACATTTTGGCCATACGAGGCACAGTGGTTCTGCTGGAAGAACCGAAAACCAAGTTAACCAACTCTATTTGGAAGTGCGATTAGGCAGTTCGGTCAGTGCCAATAGAAGCGGAGAGACGAGTCCCAGGAAGTAGTCTCGAAGGAGACACGATCGCTGGGACAAGAGCTTTATTAGCCTGGCGTTTCGGATTCCTGCTGCAGCCCCTTGTGCATGAACCACCCGTATCTGCTTTTGTCTCTGATGATGGGTTCGAGCAGGAATCCGAAACGTCAGGCTAACAAAGCTCTTGTCCCAGCGGTCGTGTCTCCTTTAAGTTTGGTCAGTATTTCGCAAGTTTCGGCGTGTACTGCAGTGCACAGATCTGAACACTAAATTTGAAGATACAAGTACCCAAGAAATGACCTCAACAATGAACATTCTTGCCGGCTATTTCTAGGAAACCCTACACGCTGATAACGACATGCCACGGAAAGTATAGATTGTTTAGATGATCAGGTGGCACGCAGACTTTAAATTGTGCACCGTAATTATACGCACTGAAATTCTACTTAAAACATGTCTTTCATAGGATAGAATTACGCACCGCACAAAAAGTTTAATTTGGGGCTCCTATTTGTCTGACTAACATCACTGTTGACTCCCTACTACATGTCGGCCGACTTGGCGTGCCGAAGCACGTACGAAAGGATTTACTTTGTGATCGAGTTCAGAAGTTGATGGCCACATGTTAACAGATGATGATGACGACTTCGAACGTATAGTAAGTCAGGGAAGGGAGTGGTGCGTGAAGGCCTAGTAGGCAATAGCGGGGAGAGAGAGTGAGTCACCCACTTACTGGATATTGCTAGAATGAAGCGTGGCCTTCAGATCGCGCAGTGAATCCTGAACACTCGAGCAGTCCGGTGTCTTACCCTCCTGCTCGCTCAGAGATCGAATCTGTACCAACAGACCGGTCAACTTCGTGATCAGATCCATGTTCTTCGTATTGCGCAGTCGCTGCACCTGGATGCTCTTCACGCGATTGACGATGTCGTAGGCATCCTCATCGCAGCGCTGCTTGAAGTCACAAGGCTGCTCTAACGGCGACACGCCATGTTCCTGAGCAATCTACGCATGGGAGTTTCAGTGGCAAGGCAAAGAATCCTACCTCGTTGGCATACTGAAGCACATGAACGAGATACTGGTTCAGTTCTTTGTTCAAACGTTCCAAGTGCACAATCACTGTGAGGTAGTTGTGCTGGAACTCCATGGTGATATCCGACTGGTTAGAAATCTAAACGGTGAGAGTTGACAGAGAACACAGAATGACAATTACCCTGCGTTCAGCCTCGGAGTTGAGATCCTGCAGTTCGTCTACACACCGTTTCTTCACCTCCAAAATCTTTGATAACTTTGTCTGAAAGTGAAAGGACAGAAATGTGTCATGTAGGATTGCTAGGAGAGCTAATGCAAGAAAAAGGAAGTAAACAGGAGGGGGGGAGAGAATCCACATACCACCATGACGAGAAACTTCATTGGGTAACCACCGTAAATGTCCGACTCGTTTAGAAGGAGGCGGCCACCGTTGCTGGAGGGATCGTTCAAAGAGAGGGCGGCTGCACCAATACCCCCAGTCATTTCGTTAATTGAGGGTGTCTTCAGGGGAGTGGAGAGCACAGAGGAGCTGCCACCCATACTACCCCCCGAGATCGACTGGCCCTCGAGGGACTGACAGAGAGGACAGTCATGCACGCCAAAGTCACCCGAGGCTCCACCGACAGCGTGGGCAAGCTTGTGGTGATGCATGTGTCGTTTGCCCTGGTGTAATATAGAAGGCACAGTAGCATGAACGGTGGGCTCTGACGAACGGCTTTACAGACCCGTCCCCCCAAACTCGCACCCGCTAACTAACCTGCAGCGCGGACTGGGCCAACAGCCGTGCGGGACTCATAAAGAGGTTGCGACTGGCCTTGTGCTGAGTCTTGTAGGCAGACAGTGGAATTGTCTCTTGTGGACAGATGCTGAGCACCTCGTAGTCTGGAATTGAGCGCGTGCCAAGAGCAGGCTTGTCAAAGGTGACACGATAACAATGCCGGAGGGAGTCGATCGCGTCGACCTTGCCCGGATAAAGTCCATCAGTGGGATAGCGTACTCTGGAAAGATAAAAAGCATTGTAGCTGGCAGTCGGTTCGTATTCCACAGGTCATAATGGGCAACGAGCTTAAGATACATTGTTTGCCGACACTACGCAACTAACAGGCGAGTTTTAGGACTAATGCGTTCAACACAAGTTTGCTAATCACATGGACAGACAAACTAAGGGAGTCCTCTGAAAAACAAAAGTGAAAAGTGACGTTGAGAGAAGGTTTCCAGACCGAGTCCTTCTGAGTAATGCGAAGAGGGAGGGTGGCAACAACGGCAAACACAACAATGACATGCACGAGCACTTGAAGCTGGAAAAGGACGCCTGTCTGTCCTCAAAATAGTCAAGATGCGTCCACCGACTCTCATCAGCAGGTTTTAATCCATAAGATTTCACTGACTAGGAGTAGATGACGAGACAAACTGAGATAAAGTCTTCAGGCCGTGGATGAATAAACTATTAAAGGCGTTTCATGCTGACATCTGATCGGCTGCGCCGGTGGAAGACTATCAGGAGGGACGGTGTGATGTCGGTCCTGGATCAATTAGTCTGACTACAGAGAAATACGCCAACGGTGTGCTGTAGCAAAAGTGGACAAGATACACCGGGTCAAAGTCTGAGTCATTGAATAGTTGCCTTAGCATTTGAATAGATTATATCACTAAATAAAAGTGGTTCCCAGTCACAAGGACCAAATTACTTTATTAAAGATAAATCAGATTAAAGTAACTTGGGCACGAATTTGCACAAGTAGAAGGAGCTTGACGGGAGGAAGGCGGGCGCAGTAGTTTCGGCACCGAGTCATAACATGCTTACAGGTGACTGGGATAAAGTGAGCTTTTGTCGGTCTAGTAAGGCCAATCGCACAAAACTACGACGGTGGGGAGAGATCTTACACTAGCTGGTGGGATTGGCTTAGTAGGCTATATTAATGACAAGAAGTCTAGCACCGTTGTCCATGTAATAATCCTCAAGTCACGATGAAAATGAGGACTGTGAAAATAAAAAATATCTATAGCAGTAGGATATCCAGACAAGAGGGGACTATTACCCAAAGACATCAGCATGTGACTTGCCGGGATCACGACACACGTCGTACGAGAAAGCAACGTATGGTAAACTTCGCTTTAGCGCAATTTGCAAAATAAACACGTCAAGCAACACCCGTCGATTCCATCAAGATAATCCCTGCCGAATGAGGGTAAGCGATCGTGTTCCGGGTATACGTGCGGGCAATGAAGGATAAGGCTGATCGCGCACCGAAACCACATGTGTATTTTTACCGGCTTTCAAACTCGTGGGAAATTCCATCATCATGAATGACAGCAGCGAGAGAGCGAGCGATAGGCAGTGCCAGAGGTCTAACGTGACTGCGTAGTTCTCTGTATGCTGGCGTGAGGTGCAGAAGTGGTCAGCTAGGGCGTACACTGTGCGTATACAGAGTACCTTAGATGAACGCATGTTCCACGACAGCAAACTAGCGCCTCCACAGGCGGCTGTCGTGTAACCGACGGTATCCCGTCCTAATTACTACTGTTCTATTCCATATTTTAGTTCCAATGCGTTAATTGTAAGATAAATAACGACCAATTCCAGGGTACTCATTCGTTCCGATTCCTTCATCTTATTTTGTTCGCGCTCTCACTCGCGCGTTTGTGACCATCCTGAATACAACAGTGGCCTGATCTGACCAGCTCGATATCATATATAGTCCAGACGGCCCCTAAGAGCAGTGGCATACAGAATGACGTCTTCTGATTGGGAACTGTCGAATACATCGCGTAGTCACATGCAACTACGGCATTCGGCCAGTCGGCTGCGCCTAAGGCTCAACGTTGCACTCTCCCCCGCGCCAGCTACTTTCCCTTTAAAAGCTAGCAGGATGCAACAAACATACTGGCCAGGAGTGCAAACTTGGACCAGCACTTCTGGCGGCAACAAGCCGTGAAGAACATAGTGCGTACGCAAGGTCTTGCATGGTGGCCCCGATACCGAATGCACATGCCCTTTTCCAAAAAGCAGGCTTGGTCAAGTGTCAGTCCTTCTATTTATTTCCAAATCGTTAGACAGCAATGGCTTTGATCTGCGCTCGCCTGTACAATTGTGCAATACGGTTACAAGATTTCTTATGTGAAAACTAAATACGGATTGAACACCTAGCAAAGGTTCTTTCTTACACGTACCAGAAACTTTATCACTGGGATGGCGAACAACCAAACATTCATTAGGATCCACCCCCTGAAATTTTCATGATAAGACTGTATGTGGTTCGATTCTAGTGCTAGTTAAAAACCAGTACATAATAACCTGTATGAGAACAGCTGCTGATAACATGGTTCGCAGTGGTCCCTAAACTGTAACGGATTGAAAGCCACAAGGTGAGCACGCTCCTGAGTGAAAAAAAATCAAGAGTGGTTGACGGGTCCGGCAGTAAAACACCGCCAAAGGTAATTTATCTAGATGGATCTAATCATGTTTGCTTAGATGTCAAGTGCTGCACTATAACCAACGGGTGTTAGTCGTTCCGAAGAAGGAAGTTTGATTAATTGAATCAGTCTACTCACACCATTAAAAATCACTTTGTAGGATTATAAACTAAAACACATTTCGGCCCAAACCTTGCATTAATTCTTGTTCCGATTATAAGTGGCATGGGAACGTGCATGTCGTCCGGAAGATCGCGCAGGTATTCCAGCTGGACAGATCGTGTTGCTTGAAGAGTCCTGATTTTGTCCCGTTTTTCCTTCAGTGAGCGTCTTTCCTCGTCAAAAAATGCAGTGGAGCATCGTCTTGGTTTACCCATAAGGCGCCGAAGAAGTGACCAGTGTGCTCTTGTAAGCCTCCGAGTTTTAATGTTAGGGAAGTTTTCTCGGAGACATATCCGGAAGTCGTTTTCGCTCAGAAGAAGCGGTCTGTCAAGATTGGAATAGAACCACTCATAGAAGACCCATTTGTGGGCTTTCGGAAGCTTCAGAACATTTCTGAGGCGGACAGCGTTCACCTGGGAATTACGCCTTTCAGGGTTTGCATACATGCCGCGCCATCCCATCGGGGTTCCTACGCCCTGGTGCTAACATATAAAAAAACGAATGGACATACGGGTTTTGGAGCCCTACGAGCACGATGAGGATCATCAGGCTGCAAAGGCCGGATAGGTGAGAAGACACGGGGTGACTCGCGTGGACGATATTGTGAAGTCTGTTCGTAATAATCCTCGAAATAGCGACTTTTCTTCCTCGCACGGGGTGGCTAAATGATATAAAATTAACAATTAATATGTTACGTTTTTTCTGTATGACATTCCATATTCGTCGATATCATCTAAAGCAAACAGTAAGGTTAAACAAGGTCACCAACAATGCGAATCGTCCGCCATTTTCTGTTAATGACAAATTTGGCGCCTTAATAATCAACAAACTAAAACAAGGCATTAAGTGATATCCAAATGAGATTGATCAGAAACGTTAGTTAGCCAGAAAGAAACCCCTATACGTCTCGTTACCGTTTTTTAGAGTCCGCATAAGCGTGAAATGTAAATTTAGTACTTGGGTGTTCGGCACAAATACAGGGTGTGTGTGCAAAAAGAAGTGCAGTAATTAAAGAGGCTGCAAAGGCTATAAGTGGTGCTTAACAGTCTGAAAACTCTGGCTTAAGAGATCAAGGTACCAGTGCTGAATAAAATATCGCTCTTTAACTACAGAGCACATCGAAACGATCACAATGCTTTTTAACGGCTTGTTCGGGTGACTCGTTCCGATGTTTAATAACACACTATGAACGAGTTTGCCTTAGAGCTTAGGTACTCCATGAACTGTTCAACTGCTTTCGATGCTCATACAAACAATCTCTGTCCGCACTGTCTACTATATAGTTACTAAATGCAGTAGGCTTATTTTAGTTCCTTCTGGATACTGCTTGCGTCAGACCTTAAATGTTCTTATGAGGTTTACGTGTTGGCACGTCCACTGCAGCGTGGAATATCGGGACCCGTTTGACACTTCCTCTTGACATGGGCTGCGAATAGAGATAACAAGCTTAGTTTACTGGTTGAAAATGCCATCTAAGTCCCACATGTCCAGTAAGAACTATGAAAATCACACGCATAGAACTAGCCCAGGACGCGATTTTACCGCCGAAGTACATGATACTAGAATTTTTTGTCGACGAAATGATAGAAATACGAAAAAATCAGTAACCCGTGCTTCGATAGATTTAAACATGACAGCTGAACGGCCATCCCAAAACAAATGAAATCTGTGTGCTGCAAGAACGGATAAGTTTGTTTTAATATTTTCTTGTGTTCTAAGGAGAGTGACGACGTTCAGGAGGTCTTCTGATAAATCTATTCCGTTCCATAAACTCGGCTACCACGGCGAATTTTAAATCGACAACAACTAGTTTTCCGCTGGTTTAAAATTTGAAGATAAGGATTTTATCCCCTACCTTTTTTAGTTAAATTACCTTAAATACAGGCCTATTCACTCAGAACTGCCAGTTGCCATTTCTTTCTTGAGTTCTGCTAGTCTGTGCCTCTTGACCACCAATCACACTCTGCAATTGGCATTTTTGGCATTCGATTTCTCTCTAACTGTGTAATTTTTTACATCGTTATCCTCTAGCTGAAATTCAGTCCCTGGTCTGTCAGATGTTTTCTTAATTATAACTTGCCTCGAAGCAAGATGAGAGTAAAAGTCACAGGTCGGTGAAAACTCTTGGCCTCTGTACGTAAGCATGGTTTAACTAAATCTAAGTCAGAAGGTATGACTAGTCATTCGTCACCCGTTGTCACCGGAAAGCAGCTTAATCTGTCTGCACTTTACAACTCCAATGATTTTATACTAACGTTTGGCACTTTGCTCTCAATTCTTGAAAAATTATTCGACGGGAACATCTCCGATATTCACTCTCAAGAATGTAGACGTCTTGACTCACTTGTTCACCTGATCGCCAGTGAATCCAATGATAGACAAAAGTGTGCTTACAACTTTTGTTAAAAAATGCTCCTCTATCTGCTCGACCAGTTGATGTTGAGACTAATTTTCTATATTCGTGTTGTTTCAACTTGTCCTCCTGTAGCAAAAATCTGCCCCTCTTAGTCAAATTATTTTCACCTATCGAGGTCGACTCAATCTTTACTCATCGAGATCGTGTCTCTGCGTACCTAGAAAATGCAAAATTTTCCCTTATCGTGATCTTAATCCTACGGAACGTAGACTCGGTCCCTCTCCTCACGTAAATCCTCTGCTTTTCAGTCTAATGCTGACCAGCTCTGTCATAATACAAATGGCCGTGAGGATTTCGCTTGTTCTACCCCTGTGATATGTGACTACCTCCTTTCGATACTCCTGCATCTTCCTCTCACTCAGGTAACCTGAGGCATTCGCCTGCCCCTAAATCAGCAGAAGCAGCCCCATTTGTCGTGTATTATCCTCCAGATATCCCCCTCCCGGATACATGAAAATCCGTCTACATCATCTAGACCGACAATTTCCCCTGTTCAACAGGGCGCTGCGAACTCTACAGTTAAGTCACCTGTGGCTTGGCGTCAGAACGGTGAGACTCCAAACTGAATCAGACTCCGACCCAAAAAAAGGTAGTACAATTCCATTTAGGGGTACGCCGCCTTCGCTTAAATCTACCAAGGCTTTACAGCCCAGCTCGTCAACAAACCCCGCAGCTCCAAATATACCCCCAAATAATTTCCCGTCCCGCGTACAGATTACTTAACCAAGCCCTGCTAAATATCCAGTAAAAAATTCATGCGTGAGTTGCCCTAAGTCATTTATCCCCCAACCTAGTTCAGGCTTCCCATCACTTAACGCTAACTGCTCTCAGGTATGTCAACCTGCCTCCTTCGACTTCCAACCTAGACCTGGTCTCCCACCCTTTTGTTCTTATAGCTGCCTACCCTCCCACACCAACCTCGACTTTT